GGGATATGAGAGTACATGCTTAAATAGTGCTCAGTCCTGTTGAAAAATGTTCATCACAGTAGCGAAAAGCTATCAGTTATTAGTATGCACATTTTGTTTTAAATGCTCAGAAATTCTATGACTGACATGTGATATCATCATACAAGAATATTCAGATGGGTCATTTTATTTTCTCTTGCTGGTGATTTTGTTCTGCTTTCTGCTGTTTTGGGCAGGTTTTGGCTCAAGATTTCAACATTTGAGAATTCACTCTATAGCTACTAGTTCCTGTTGATTTGGCTGTTTGACAGCAGATGCACTTGCTGGAGAGAGATCTGTTGAAAAAGAAGTAAAAAAACCAAACAAAGAAAAACATCAGACATGAACGCATGCAGCTCTGTTCATGGTAGTCAAAACCAGTTGGCTACAGAGATCCTATCGTTTTTCTATTTGTTGAAGGTGGGGGGCTGACTGAATTTTTTCTGGCCTATGGAATACCTGCTCTCAAAAACTTTATAGAAATGCAGTTGTGAGGACCTCTTAACATTATGAGTTTTTCCAGCAGGATGACCTAAGTTTAGAGATAGTTGTAAGCATGCATGAAGAGCAAGCTCTGTGTTCTGCCTGACCTGTTTGATTCTCCTCTAAATTAGCTCAGTTTTCTCAGAAGCTTGAAAATTGTGCGATTCCCTCTATATTGCTTGTGGTGGTGCTGGTATGAGTTTGTACATCATTGTGAACTTGTGTTTGTCGGCCTGTACAGCAGCTGTAACATACCATACTGCTCAAAAATAATAAAGGGAACTCCTAAACAACACAATGTAACTCCAAGTCAGTCACACTTCTGTGAAATCAACCTGTCCAGTTAGGAAGCAACACTGATTGTGAATCAGTTTCACCTGCTGTTGTGTAAATGGAACAGACAACAGGTGGAGATGAGAGGCAGTTAGCAAGACAACCCCTATGAAGGAGTGGTTCTGCAGGTGGTGACCACAGACCATGTCTCTGTCCTCATCCTTTCTCACTGAGGTTTTGGCCACTTTTGCATTTGGGTTCCTTCTGATGCATGACAATGTGTGTCAGCAGTTCCTGCATGATGAAGGCATTGATGCTATGGACTGGCCTGCCCGCTCCCCAGACCTGAATCCAATTGAGCACATCTGGGACATCATGTCTCATTCCATCCACCATGGACTGTCCAGGAGTTGACTGTTGCTTTAATCCAGGTCTGGGAGGAGATCCCTCAGGAGAACATCTGCCACCTCATCAGGAGCATGTCCAGGTGTTGTAAGGAGGTCATATAGGCATGTGGAGGCCACGCATACTACTGAACCTCGTTTTGACTTGTCTTGAGGAATTTCCACTGAAGATGGATCAGCCTGTAATGTGATTTTTTTTTCCCACTTTTATTTTGAGTATCATTCCAAATCCAGACCTCCATGGGATAATAATTTTGATTTACATTGATCATTTCTATGTCATTTTGTTCTCAACACATTCCACTCTGTGATGAATAAAGATTTTCAACTGGAATATTTCATTCACTGAGATCTAGGATGTGTTGTTTTAATGTTCCCTTGATTTTCTTTTGAGCAATGTAGTATTTCACATCAAGAGCATGTTACTATCACAGCCATGTTCTGCCCTCTAGTGGGGAGGTTATGCAGATGCATCTAGAAACACCACATGCAGCACCAGTGCTGCAGATATTTTTTATAGATCCAACAACAATTTTCAACACTCAGTTTTTATCGCCACTGAATTGAGGAGGTTAGAATGTAACCCTATTAAAAATAACTATTAAATGTTAAAGAAACTGCCATAGAACAACAGTTAGACACCATTTCATTCAGGTTGAGCAACAGGCAGTTCTTATTGTTCATGAGGATGAGAGCTCTGGACAACAGAGGAACACTAATCAAATTGTGTCTTCCTGGTTTGGGCTGCCCAGAAATATAATCTAAATTCAAAATTTATACACTGAAATGCTTTTGGTAAAAAATCAAATTGTGTTTTTACTAATCAAGTTGAAGAATTTAAGATACAATATGCACTATATTTGCTTATTTGTGTGTGTGTGTGCGCGATCAATTTGATGGTATCTGAACATGTCAGCTTCTTGTCTGAATGAGTATCCTGACCACTTTTCGATAAATGTTGTGACTGAAATCTAACCAGGATTATAACATTTTAGTATCATTTTCCATATTTGTTGAATATTTGGCAATACTGGTCCATGAGCATCACAGAATGCCAAAATACAGCTTGCTGCCAAAACAACAAAACTCCTCTCTCATTCACTTTTATCCACAATTTCACATCTATTTTAAACAGAAATGTCCATAAAAATAAAAATGTTACTGCAATGAAGACAGGTGCTGTAGCAGTTCAGATTAATGAAATGCACCAATAATAAATGTAATCCAGGTCTTGGCAAAACATTAACAGAAGCTGAGGTTTAGTTTGTTGCTTCTATCTGTTCCGTAGGAGACTTCAAGGATTCAAGGTCTTTTATTGGTCACAAACACAGTTGTACATGGTATAACGCACAGTGAAATGCGTTTTGTACCTGTTCCACACCGAAACAATAACATAAATAAGAATAAGGAATAAAACACACAAGAAATAAAGAATCTATATCAATGTGTGTGTGTGTGTGTGTGTGTGTGTATACATATATATATATATATATATATATATATATACACATATATATATACACATTTTCAAACAGTGCAACAAGGGAATAAAACATCCATCCATCCATTATCTATACACCGCTTAATCCTCACTAGGTTCGCGGGGGTGCTGGAGTCTATCCCAGCTGACTCAGGGCGAAGGCAGAGGACACCCTGGACAGGTCGAGGGGAATAAAACAAATAAAGAAAATAATAATACTATATACATGTATATATACAAGGTGAAAAGTGTAAAGTGACCGGTTGGATTGTCTATTGAGTCTGTTGTTTGAGGTTCAGCAGGCGGACAGTCTGAGGGAAAAAGCTCCTCCTCATCCTCTCTGTGTTTGCCTTCAGGCAGCGGCAACGCCGTCCGGAGAGCAGCAGAGAGAACAGTCTGTAGCTGGGGTGAGTGGCTCACTCACAATCTTCCTGGCCTTTAACCTGCATCGTTTGGTGTAAATGTCCTGCAGGTTGGGGAGAGTGGTTCTGATGGTGTGCTCAGCCGAGCGGACCGTCCTCCTTCGGGCCAAGAAGTCCTGCTGGGTGCAGCTGCCCATCTAGGTGGTGATGCTCCCAGCCAAAACACTCTCAATGGTGAGGTGTAGAAGTTCCAGAGCACCATGAGAGGGAGCTTAAAGTCCCTCAGGCATCAGAGGAGGTAGAGATGCTGTCGAGCCTTCTTCACCAGGGTGTTGGTGTGACAGGACCACGTCAGGTCTTGCGTGATGTTAACACCCAGGTACTTAAAGCTCTCCACTCACTCCACTTCTGTCCCGCTGATCCTGAGTGGGTGATATACCCTCTGCTGCTTCTTGCTGTAGTCCACAATCAGCTCCTTGGTCTTGCTGATGTTCAGGAGGAGGCTGTTGTCTCTGCACCAGTCCTCCAGGTGGGTGATCTCCATTAAATAGTCCTCCTCGTTGTTGTTGGAGATCAGACCCCCCACTGCTGCGCTGTCAGCAAACTTTATGATGGTGTTAGAGTCTGATGTGGACAGACAGTCATTAGTGTACAGTGAGTACAGCAGAGGGCTCAGCACACAGCCCTGGGGGGCACCGATGTTCAGGACTTTTCTCTGAGTTTAATAAATACCTGCAGTATCAGACAGCAGCAGGATCTGTCTGAGTATCTCCAAAGAGAGAAAGCATTTATGCTTGAGTAACAGAGGTAATTTAATTAATTACCTGTACTTTTTGTCACCTCCAACAGGTGAGCTGTCACACACAAAGTCATAGTTTATGAGCAACAGTTAAATCATTTGTTGTATATAAGCTGTCATCAGGTTGAGTCCTCAATCACAGCTGTCAGCATATTTTAATTTTGCTGTTGGTAAAGTAGTAGTTAGATTATCATCAAACATGGACAGAATTTTCAGTTTTTAGAAAACCAACTTGTCTATTTATTCATTTGGATAGTTTGATAAGCTTGCTGTTAATTCAGATTTAGTCTTTTGTTTGCTAGTGCATTATTATGTGTTATACATGACTTGAAGTGCTGTCCAGACTCATGTGTATGACAAATATTGTGTGTGCTATGGCTCTGTCGATCACTGTTGAAGGTATGTCTGAATGAAGATGTGAGGAAAGTGACCCATCTCTGAATAATAGAATGGCATCACTTGCACAAATTGATGAAGCAGCTACTTTATCCTATGTCTGAAAAACAAAACAAAAAAAAACAAAGTAGCTTAGATCAGTCCACAAGACAACTGCAGCCTGCCCTGTGTGTGGTAACGCTTGAGCACAGGAGAGAGGTGTGAGGGAAACCAAAAAGGACAGTAAATCTGGCTATCCAAATATGTTACATTTCTACAATCTTTCTTCAGAACCACAGACTCTACCTTTAAAGCTGACATGGTGGATTTTTGTTTTGTTTTATGAGTGGTTTTGCTGTTGAAAATGTTTAGAAAATGATGCAAAACGCTTATTTTTCCCATGTTTATTTTGTAGAGAAGGCACACCAGTATGTGGTTGATTTAAATATACAAAAACATCATTGCACAAAGTGTTTGTCAGTGTCAGGCACTTATTATTTTTGGTAACTGGTGTCATCACAGCCGAATTAAAATAAAGAAGCCAAAGTGCAGTATTTGTAGGAGAACAGTACTGACAGCTATTTTATAATGTTGCCAGTTTACATTTTTCTGGCTAAACCACTCAAACACGTTGGTTCTCGTCAGGTGGTTGTGGCTCCAGAGGCATTACCCAATTAGAGGGCAGAAGCACTTTGCAGACCCGCCTTCACATGGATGCCATTGGTTGAATCTTAGAACGTAGTCGCGCTATGGGCGGAGTCTGTGGGGCCCCTGTGGGCTTTCCAGCGGTTACATGAATAACAGCACCTGAGAGGAGACAAGAGACGCGCTGCCTCGCTTCTTCCTCGTCTACTGTTACAGATATCCACGGGTGAGTGAGCTACGATGTAACAGTGTATCTAGCTAACCTGTTTTTAATGTTATTTTATGTCCATAATGTCAGTATGCTATTTAGAATGCACCGTTTTGGGGAACTAAAGATGCTGATCGCAATTATTTCAGTTACTTCACGTTAGCATGATAAAAAAAGGGCACGTGCAAGAAACAACTAAACATACTAAAAAATCATAACTTCGAACGTATTTTCCCAAATCAATTGTCCCTAATTGTTGATGTTATGCAACAGTGAGTGCCCCCCTTCCTCTCTAGTTATTTCCAGTGACTGTGGGAAGCTGCTAGAAAAACGGAACAACACTAACCTGACCAGTCAGCAACATGTCAACAAAACAGCGGCGCTTTAAAGTCATTTAGTCGTCCTGCTTTTATTGTTCGTGTAGCTTGAGTGTAAATTAGTCCAGCTGACCTGCCATTACCTTCGCTCAAGAAGTGTGTCACATTTGTGGGATCCGCCCCCTTCTGTGGATAAAATACAGGTCCTACAAAGTCAGTGTTCAGCCTTTCGTATGCAGACATGATTTGAGGTTACTTTGGGTTCAGTGTACTGTAGGGATTTGACAAGAAGTGAATATTGCTGTGCTGTCCTGTGAAATGACTGAAACACAACCATGCATGTGTTTGAGAGAGAGAGAGAGAGAGACAGAGAGTGAAACACATATGCAGTTGGAGTGAACATCATTTCTTATCTGAATGCGTGTAGAGGCATCAGTATTTCCAAAGTGTGATCAACAAGCTGCCTTTATCAAGCTGACCTCCAACTAAAGTCCAGTTTGCTATCTCACATCTCCAAGGACAAAAGTTGGCTTATGAAACTAAACTACACATCTTGACTTGTCACGACTTTGCCGTTACACAATTAAAGACAACGCTAAATTTGTGTAGGAGGGGGAAATTAATGACTATTTAGTCTTTGAAGATGCCTTTCCTTGTTTCTTGTACACTTGGTGAACGTTGTTGGATGTACAGAGATTTAGAAGGACTGCTGCTGCTTAATAGATTATGATCTGATAAACTGATCTTTCCCCAGACGTGAAAGGTGCAGTGGCCATGGAGTCTACCAGGAAGCGTACCCAGCACAGTACCAATGGCAAACCGTCAGAACACACGGAGCAACCAGCACAGTGGGGTAGAGCATGGTGAGTTAATGTCAGGTCACAGGATAATATCAATCACTGTAATCGGAAAGACTTTGCCTGAAGTTCCACTGAACCAGTCAGATCACTGCCCTATATGTTTTACAATGCTGAGAGCAGGGGGATTCATTGAGTTGGGATGTCAGGCAAACTCTGCCTTGCTTTATTTTTGCCCTTACTCTAACTGAATGTTGTGTTGGTAGTTGAATTTTTGTTTGTCATCCAAAAGTGAAGAGTGAATGAGAGGAAAATTAAAACTGAGACAAAATAAAGCAATGTTAATTTAGTCTCTACTTTGTTTTGGGTAGTACACAGTTACTGAATTGATAATCAGTGTTGGTAAGACTAATAATAGTACCCTTCAGGCTTAAGGATACCCATCCCTATTCATCACAAGGGCAGTGTAAATTGGGTGGGAAGAGTGATTTGGGAGCAGACTGTCACACTTTTGTGGTAATTCCTGAAAAGTAGCCTTTAAAGTTATTCAGTTACCATTCAACTTTTTTCTTGAGTTGTGTAATTTTCTTGCAGCCTCACAGACCTTTTACACAGCAGACATTTGGGCTTGTCAAATCATGTCAAAGCTTAAGTGTGCTTTCAAATGACTACGGCCCATTTTGGTGCCATTTTGTTCTAAGGTCCTGGTATTTTACATACTGGCTCAGTGTCATGGCTTGATGGAACCAAGTCATCATTATTAAAATTAGTTTCAGTTGTGCTTTTGCTGTGATAATATTTAACAAAGGAAGTCTGGTGATGGTAGTAGCTACTTGTACAGTACTGTATTTCCATATGTCTGTCACATACAGGCTCATTTGAAAAATATTAAAAGTTAAACCTGTGTATTCCATTCTATGATCATCAAAATGTTGACCTTTAAAGGTCTTTACTGCACATAACACACAGTGGTTGCTTAAAGATATGCTCTTCTGGAGAAGCAATGGTGAACGGCTCTAGTCTTGCAGTCTGTAGAACATCCATAAATTATCTTACAGTACAGAAATTAAAGTACAGCATTTGCTTTTTGAAATTGATAGTCTAGATTAGTATGTTAAAAAATAAGCAGGCAAAGTATGTTGTCACAGCAAACCCAAATGACAAAATTGCTCACAGTCACAGTATCACAGTATTACTTAGTCATTTTTTTTTACAGAACACATCTGTCATTCTTGAAGAGTTTTTTTTTTTTTTTTTTTTTTAAACAATATTGAACCTTTTCTGAATTATTTTAATGCTGTTTAGTGGAATGTTGGTTATATACATAACATACATTATATAAATGATCATTCACCCACAGCTTGAATATAGGGGTAAGTGATCTTTTAGGGTAGAATCACAGTACATGATCTTATTTAGAATTCTCCCCTCAGATGTGGTTGAAGTTGTAATCACATGATTAGTTGCTTTTTTGATTGTCTGCATACAAAGCCCGTCACTTCAATTCAGTGCTAAAGGCACAACTCGCAAATATTGACATTTTGGTTTATTCTGATTGTATTGTGAAAGCTCTGAGTGGAAGTGGTGATTTGTGACTCCTTTGCTGTGACACGTTTTGGTGGTATAAAATATATAAGTACTTAATTTGTAAAAAAAAAAATCAGTCACTGCTGAATAGCTAGCTCCACCTCTACCTGTCTTGTGTTTCCATACCTGCAGGCTGACCATGTTATTGTTATGGTGTTCCTTGATGTAATTCAGCTGCCTCTCCAGCAAGCCCAGCAGACGGATTCCAAAACTACTATTTTAGACTGCAGTTGGTGACAGTAGCTGACTTTCTCAAAACTTGGCGTAGTAGCACATGAACTAGTTGTCCACTTGTTGCAGAGCAAGTAATCCTCCAGCTTGCATCATATCTTCAAGGGACCAGAACAGTAACTACCATCATCAGCTGAGGTCCAAGGCAGTGGACTGACTATCTGTCTGTCTGGAAAAGACTCACTGGCGTAGCTGATGAATGACACTGAGGGCTGCCACAACAGAAGCCTGGCAGTCTATAGATAAAAGAAATGAGTGTGAACAGGCAAGGGCTAGCTGGTTAGCAGCAACTGAACTCCTAAAATAATGAAGGAAACTGTCCAATTCTTCTGAAAAGCAGACCAAATGAAAATAGTCCATAATAAAAGATTGTCAGATTACCCACCACACTTCATATTTAGGAATATAGTACAGTGTACAAAAGACTGAACAATGTTTTTTGACAGTATTTCAATTTGACTTTTATATATTTTTAAATTCACACTCAAGTTCAATATTCATAGTGTAACAGATTTAGAGCACATGAGACACCATCAGAAGCATGTACCTGTCACACCAGGAGGACAGCATGCAAAACTATTGCCACTGCAGTTTTAATCCTGGATTAGACATGCTCAAAATGCACAAAGTGTGGCTATTAAATAATGAGACTTTGGTCATATCAGGTGATCCACAGCATGCATGCCTGAATCACATAGTAAAAAATAATCAGTGGGCATAAACAACCACTGAAAGTTTCAATTTGTTCAGATTAAATAAAATTGAATCACAGCATTAGTCTCATTATTTAATAGTGACAGCTTTTGTATCAAATAACAGCCTTTGAAAATTGTTATTTGCATTTCATATTTAGGTTTCAAATCAGTTAATTGTCTAGTCCTGATGTATTACTATGTTCTGTCCTTACACTGTGTCTGTGTGTATATATCTGATCCATTCTTAGGGAGGTTGACTGGTTTTCCCTCATCGCAGTAATTGGCCTCCTTTGCTTTGCCCCTTTCATCGTCTTCTACTTTGTGATGGCCTGTGATCAGTACCAGTGTTCGATCACCCAGCCTCTGGTTGAGTTATACGGAGGACAGACCACACTATTCACCATCTGGGACAGATCACCCTCCTTCACGTGGTCAGCTGTTAAGATATATGCCATCTGGGTGGGCTTCCAGGTAAGTAGAGGACTTTAAAAGCTGTGCAACCAAGACGAACTGTGAATTGTGTTCAACTTAAAACAGGCTGTGTTGTCCCTCAGGTGTTCCTGTATATGTGTATTCCTGATGTTACCCATAAGTTTATTCCTGGCTACGTTGGTGGGGTGCAGGATGGAGCACGAACTCCTGCTGGTAATTAACACACATGCTCATTAGTCCACAACATTTCTTTTAACATGAAGTCCAGTATTACCCCGACTTGAGTTAATGTTTTCGGGGATTGAATTTTTTTTATTTTATTTTTTTTAAACAAAACATTTTATCTTGTTTAAAATGTGTGACATTCAGTGGCAAAGCAGTATGTAGATAGTATTTCTTAATCAATAATAATTTTTAAAAATACCTACTTTTTGTTGTTTTTTTTTTTTACAACCAAGGCCTGGTCAACAAGTATGAGATCAATGGGCTGCAGTGTTGGCTGATCACTCACGCGTTGTGGTTCGCCAATGCCCAATACTTCCACTGGTTTACTCCTACCATCATCTTCGACAACTGGATCCCCCTGATGTGGTGCACCAACATACTGGGCTATGCTGTGTCCACGTTTGCTTTCATAAAGGCTTACTTTTTCCCCACCAACTCTGAGGACTGGTGAGTACTGATAAACGTGTGGTAAGATGACATTAGCAGTAGGAGCAGACTTCTGAATCAAAAGTGTATTATGTCTGCACAGTGTTTATGATATCTGAATGGTAACCTAGTTTCTACTGTGTTAGCTCACACCTTTGTCTGCTTGTTTTCTTCCACACTACAGCAAGTTCACTGGCAACATCTTCTACAACTACATGATGGGCATTGAGTTCAACCCACGCATTGGCAAGTGGTTTGACTTCAAGCTTTTCTTCAATGGCCGACCCGGCATTGTAGCTTGGACTCTTATCAACCTGTCCTACATGGCCAAGCAGCAAGAACTGTACGGCCACGTCACCAACTCCATGATTCTGGTCAATGTTCTTCAGGTAAGATGGAAAAAGAATATTGGAGGGTGGAGTGTGTCTCTCAAGAATGTGCAGAAATGTGAGGGGTGTACTCACTTTCGTGACATACTGTTTATATCCTTCTGTCACAAGGACAGTGTGAATTGTCTGGACAGATTTTTATGCCAATGCATCAAGTAGTTTCACAATATATTTCAGACAGGCAGACCAACATTGCCATCGTTGATTTGGGCTCGTTGGTGATGGCTGTAAGAGAACTGGATGTAGGCTGAGGCCAGGGGAGGTATGGCATCCAACACTGTCGGCTTGATCCTGCTCAGTGATGGCTGGGAAATGCCGCATGTCTCCAACCTCACGCTGGACTGTGCTGGTGGTCAGAATCCCCGAATGCTTTCTATTTGTAGTTTCACTGTTCTATCGCTAGATTATGTGTGTACACATGGTCAGAGTTGTGTGGACACTGTGGATATATGAGCAATATAAATCTATGAAGAAATAATAAGAAATAAATGATATATATAAACACACACACACATACATACATATATAACAATTATAATATAGTGTAATATAAATAATAATATGTGTGATTAATAGTTCAGACTATGTAGACTAGTGTGCGTTCAGTACCTGTATTGGACTTGGGTAGAACATGTTGGTGAGTCTGGATGTGCGGGCCTGGATGGACCGGTACCTCTTTCCTGAGGGCAACAGTGAAAAAAGGCTGTGCCTGGGGTGTGAACCATCGAAGGTGATGCTTCTGGCCCTGCGCAGACATCTGGTGTCATAGATGTCTGACAGAGAGGACAGCTGTACTCCTATGATGCGCTGTGCTGACTTCCTGACTCTCTCCAGAGCCTTCTTGTCAGCCTGAGAGCAGCTCCTGTACCACACTAAGATGTTTGTGGGTGAGGATGCTCTCTACAGAACACCTGTAGAAGGACAGCAGCAGTTCCTGGAACAGGTTGACCTTTCTCAGTGACCTTAAAAAGCATTAAAATTGGTTTTAGTTGTGCTTTTGCTGTGATAATATTTGACAAAGGAAGTCTGGTGACGGTAGTAGCTACTTGTACAGTACTGTAATTCCATATGTATGTCACATACAGGTTCATCCGGACAGTAGTAATTGCTACACCTGTGTGTTTCTTTCTATGACAATCAAAATGTTGTTAAAGATCTATACTGCACACAACGCATAGTGACTACTTATACAGATGTGCTCTTGTGTAGAAGCAATGGTGAAAGCTCTAGTTTGGCAGTATACAGAACATACATAAATTACATAAATTATCTTAATTATCTTCTGTGTTATCATTCTCTCGTCTATTGGTGTCCTATATACGCCCTTTTAATTCCACAAATCTCTAACTTGGATTCTTTTGTAAATAGGATTCCTTTCCATCATCCACAGTGAAATTCTGCTGCCTTTGCCCACTCTCAGTGTTTGGCAATGTTTCCCCTTCTGACTTGTCATTTGAAGATAGCTACTCATCATCTAAGGCCACGAATAGACTTCCTGCTACTGACAGTATTTTTACTCTCTGTATTCTGTCAAATTCTGTATTTAAATAAGTTGTTTTACAATCTCTCAGTGACCAACAATGCATTGTTCTTCTGATGGTGCGGTCACTTTGTTTTTTTTGGATACAACTGATCAAGTGTCACAATGCTGCTTAATGAGCAATGGTTTGGTGAAAACATGGGTACCAGCTGTATATATAATACGTGAACAATGGCTGATTGACTCAAGTCTATCAAAAGGTGAAATCCACCTTTGTGTCATCCAGGCACTGTCTAAATGGAACAATACAAATCATGGAAATCATGCAAAGGAGTTATCATGGTCAATGTCCCAAATTAGCATATATTCCATTGCTGATATAGAGATAATGCAGAATCCCTAATGTTATTTAACAAGTCTTAAAGTTTTGTGTTTTTAAATTCCCCACCTTTTCGATTATTTCAAGTTTTACATTATAATGAGACAATTTTTTTGTATATACTTACTTGTGAGTGTTGCATCTTTCATTTAAATGTAGTGGCAATGGTTATATGTATGAATCCCTCCCAACACATTTGATTTTGTGCGGAATCTTAGAAATCCGTGTTTGATTTTATTTCCTTGTAAGGTTTTAAAACCTTTACTCCAAAGCTAAAAGTTGATTAAAAAAAAAACAAGTCAAATCCTCATTGTCATTCAGAGTTTAGAACACAGCTGGGTGAGTCATAGTAATATAATAAAATAACAACTGCATAACTGGATCTTTGTGTTTTGTTGTAGGCTATCTATGTATTGGACTTCTTCTGGAATGAGGCCTGGTACCTGAAGACCATTGATATCTGCCATGACCACTTTGGATGGTACCTCGGCTGGGGAGACTGTGTCTGGCTGCCATACCTCTACACACTGCAGGTAACAAACATGTACATGCTACCGCGTAAAAAGAAAATTACTTGTTGGTTCGCTAGCATTCATTTAAGCAACAATAAATGTTCTTGTGTCTCTCTAGGGTCTGTACCTGGTGTACCACCCAGTCCAGCTCTCAGATGCCCATGCCCTGGCTGTTCTGTTGCTTGGCCTTGTTGGATATTACATCTTTCGCTCCACCAATCACCAGAAGGATCTGTTCCGCCGCACAGAGGGCTCCTGCTCTATTTGGGGCCGCAAGCCAACGTACATCGAGTGCTCGTACCGCTCTGCTGACGGTGGCATCCATCACAGTAAGCTCATGACCTCAGGTTTTTGGGGCGTGGCCCGGCACTTCAACTACACAGGTGACCTGATGGGTTCTCTAGCCTACTGTGCTGCCTGTGGCTTTGGCCACATACTTCCGTACTTTTACATTGTTTACATGACCATCCTGCTGGTCCACCGCTGTGTGCGTGATGAGCACCGCTGCGGCAACAAGTATGGCAAAGACTGGAAACGTTACACAGACGCTGTGCCTTACCGGCTGATTCCTGGAGTGTTTTAGAGAGAGGATTAAGAAACAAGAAAGGGAGGGACAAAGATGAAGACAGATACAAAAGATATGAAATGGTCATAAGCTATCAAGATAATTATGAGTTTCATATGTATCAAGAGTACCCTGAACATTCTACACTGTATCTCATACATTCTGTTGTTCTGTATTTTATATTTCTATGGAGACTGCTGTGCATGTCTGTCTGCAGGTACAGTAAGTTTACTGCTGTAATTCTCTGCCACAGTAAAGGCAGTTTGATTTAAAAATAAAGTCTACTTTCTTTATATTGTGACAGTTTAACATGATGACACATTTTTAAAAACCGCACAATGTGCATTGTCTTTGGAGGTAGCAGAACCAAGCACAACTCAGACCAGCTGAAGCCTTTATCAGAAACAGAAACAAGAGTCAGCAGCACTTCTGTGTCTACAATTGTTTTAGACAATATAGTGATATCGTCATAGTTTGTATGGCGATTTAAAGTTTCTCAATATATGAGTTTGATGATTATGCTTTATATTATTGTAAATATAACATCTTTGGGGATTTTTTTTCACTGTGGTAAAAATAAGTGTGAAGATGTCACTTAGCTCTCAGGTCATTATGAAGTTTAAGACTAAAATATTGACTGTAATATCTTGTTGCTGCCTAATGGTTTAATGGACCAAATGTTATTCTTTGCTCTGCTGCTACAACCTACATCATAGAAAATTTCTATAATCTTTGTATAAAGTTTGTCTGAAGGCTGTGCTTTGTGTAGACAGTTTAAATGACTTGTTAGACTTTAAGAACCTCAGAAATTAAGCAACTGAACAGCAATGAACAGCAGTCTGTTGTTCACTGAATCTGTATCGCATTAAGTTTGTCACATTCAAGCTGCATGTTGATAGAAATGTTTTTGCTTTGTTAGACCATCACATTGGTTTTGTGTGCATTTCCTCATACCAACACTGCCTTTCTAACAGCAATAAAGTAACATAATAAACTTAAAATGTTGTTGTGACTGTTTTCTACTGATCCACTGCACTGCTGCGCTTTACTTAAGTAAAATGTCTATTTTTACATTTTTTATTTTTTGGGGGGAGTGTCATTTGGGTGATGCCTTGAGTGGTCTGAGAGCTGACCGTCATATTTGAGATCTCTGTATCATCCATCCATTATCTATACACCACTTAATCCACACTGGGGCCACAGAGGGGCTGGAGCCTAAGTGATTGTATGCATATTGTAAAATTAACTGATAGATTTGTTAATATGAATTCCCAAGAGAAAAAAAGATTTTCCAAAGTATCAATAACACTGTACAAGTGTAGGACAATTCCACGTTATTGTAAATGTATGTCTAATTTGATGTAATTTGTGCTTTCCAACACTAGATGGCAGCAAATGAGCGCTAATCCCAGTGCTCAATCAGATTGAAAAAGCCTCATTACACTCCTGTTGCTATGTTTCTTGTGGGTTTACCTTAAACCCCAAATTGCATAAAATCACTCAAATTACCTCACACAAGCAGTCTTGTGTCTTTAATCCAAACTCAGACTAGCTGTAATGCCAGGTTGCTGAACGTCTCCTCAGTATGTAAACTTTTTGTGACTATGTAGAAGCACTATTTTATCATCAGCATCATTAACTTACAATAATCATGTGCACATCAACAAAACTATAGTAGCTAGAGTCAATAAAAACAATAAAAATGCAACAGAATGAGCTCCACTGATTTAATCGGTAACATTTGTTATGACAAGAGAGTGGTCATACACAGAACAACATCCCTTGAAAGAAGAAAAATACATTTGCCTCATCAACAGCCCCCAAATGGATTTTCTAATGAGATTGTTCTATCAACTACTGTCTCCGAGGCTAAAGTTGAAGACAGATCATGATTCCTTAAAGTGGAGGGAGAAAAACATGGAAATTGGAACATCTCAGTTCTTGATATCTGAGCAAACTCTATTTGATAAAGATCAAGTGATGTGAATGACATCTGCACACAGGACAGCTACTAAATTAAACTTGACTGTATCCTCAACATCACTGTCAGTGTATTCAAGGGCACTAGGTGCTAGTGAGCAACTCTAGAAGCTACCTTGATTCCACCATGCAAAATGCATTTGTAAGGAGGAGCATAAGAGGTGAAGATATGCCGTTTATGCTTTTCCTCAAGTGTTTAGTAATCCATCAGACCTGGCTGCCTATTTTGCCATGTAAGCTGAATAGGTCTGTTCCCTGAACCTTACCATCAGTAGGCCTGCTATCAGGGGAATGATGCACGTTATGGATGTAAATCAGTTATGATAATGGAGACTCATTGATTCCTCTTGCCTTTGTTCAAAGCTAATGCAATATGCACCCGATTCATTACATTGCATTACATGGAACCAAATTACCTTTGATTCTTTTTTTCAGGTTAACTGATTCTCAAATTACCCCTGAAGACAAGGAAGTGTTGCATGTGATTGAAGGAGCTCCGCTGTGCAATCATCGGGTTCACTCATAACCAAGCTGAAGAATAGCTCTCTGTGAAACAGATGGAAATCTGAAGAAAGGGATGATCTTTTTGTGATGTATTGAATTTGCCCGTTGGGGATAACGCACCCATCCATTTAAATGTCCAGTATGCACAGTAACCATATTGTCGAAGCCTCGTTTTGCAGCTGCATTTTCATGTGTTGTGAGGGACAGGTGGGAGTCATGGAGGCAGAAAAAGTCCTGTAGCTGGAGTGAGTGGCAGAGACAGTGAAAGGCAAAGGCAGAGAGGGACTAGTAGATTGAGATATACAGAAAGCACAACGGGGTACTTGGAGCTGGTGCCACTCCTCAGCTAAAATTGGCTTGATTTCCCAAGAGGCCAAATTAGTTTTTATTGGAAGTTTGGGGGGTAAGAGACTTGTGCGTGAGAGTCGTAAGTGAGAAGGAAAGGGGCACCGCAGAGGGAGGAAAGTACATGATTTGTCAGCAAACTGCAGCGCTGATAATCCACATGTACCATAAAGTACAGCGGACCACTAAAGAGCATACCAGACTACAGCAGTCCTAATCATCACATTGTGGCAGCTGAGGTTGGATTTAATTAAGGTTGAGGTTCATTCTAGCTGTCATAATATTGATTTCTTGTACTTTGGGTTTGTTGGGAACATTTATTGCAAGTTCTTTTATTCCTTCTTTTTCAACAGCCTAGCAACAAAATAAGTCACTCAAATCTTCATTTCTTGTTGTATCCCTTATTAGCAGCAGCTTTAGGAATCACTGCTCGTCTGCCAGTTGCTCCACCACCTTAGACAGAACTGTTTAATAGATTTCTGTGAAGGGTTGTACAGTCATTGATGGGTCCCAGACAAAATATCCTACTGACTTTGGTCTGGAGCTACTGGTCCCACCAATCTGTCCAGAGACAAAGATCTCTTGTTTATTGTCTGTCTCTGCTTTTCTTTTCTCTTTTCTCCTTATGCTCACCCCAACCAGTGGAGGCAAATGACTGCCTGCTTCTGGTGGAGGATTCTTCCTGTTAGAAGAGAATACTTCCTCTCCACTGTTGCCAAGATACTGCTCATAAGAAATCTGTGGACTTGCTGTATAATATTATACAGTCTTGGACCTCATTTTTAAATTAGTCGAATAAATTTGCTCACTTGATAAGGTTTTAGGGTCTTAACCCTAAGACTTAAACTACTTAGGTAAATTTACAAAATAAAAAGGACTGTAGGGTATTACCTTAATATATAAACTTGCTAGATCAATTTGTAATGCCAATCTTATGCCTGTGGCAAGTACTTTCGTTGAGCAACTGTTTTAAATGTGCTATATAAATAATGCCAACTTAAATCAAGTTGAATTATTTCTTCTTTTCCGTTGCCTTTGACCTCAAGCATCATCAGTTAATGGCAACTAATGTCACAGACAAAAGGTCAGGGCTCATGGTATACACTGACAGGGTTTAGCAGGGGAAAGATAACTGGAATATGCTATAACAGCTCAAAAGTCTTTGGAAGTCAGAGGTTTGGTCAGATATCTGTTCCTCCTCATTTTAGCAGTATCTTGAACTTTATGGGACCAGACTACATGCATCTGTCTTCAGCCAGAATCCAGACATATTGCCCTGAAACTCTAAAGTCTTTCTCTATTGTGCTCTTCCAGACATATTGAAACAGGTCTTAAATTGAGAAAAGGAGTTTGCCAAAGTAAGCTGACAGAATCCTACGCCTACATTTTAGACTTGACTCCTTGTAAGTCAGTCAGAGAGTTGAATTAAAAAGGGATTAGGAGCAGAGAAAGAATTAGAGGGATTAAAAAGGATTCTCAGGCTGCACCACAAATCCATAGCTGAAAGATTGGTTGTAGATGCTACATCTCATATTAACAAGGCTTGTGAGGCATGGAGACACGCTCTTCACACATCAGTGGCGACAACAGCAGGGGCCCGGGCAACAAATTGCCCATATTTTACATGTTTGGAGTGTGGGATTCAAGGGCCTGACTTCTCTCTGCTTCTCCTGTGTTGATAGTCAGACTAAACTTGAGAACAGCTTGAATTCTGTACTGCTAGTGAGCCAAATTGAGCTTGACAAAGCTGCAGGGAAGCTGCTGTGACTGTATAGTTACACTTACACTGTTTATCGGATTATAAATGATGCTTAGAGATCAGCAACATTTATGTTTACTCCTGAAAACATAACCAAAGGACAGAGTAAGCAATTTACTTTCACTGAACTCACAGATACACCACAAACCGTACACACTCAAGCATGGCACTCATTACCATATTCTTTAACAATTACAGTATATGCACAAGAAACAGGTGGGTAGTTTCCATAAGCAGGGGATTTCTGGGACATGTTTGGTTGCTTTGGAGACGGGCAGACATGCTTCTGGGTGTGAGGGTGTGGCAGAATTGCCCAAGTGGCTGCCAGTTGTCCAGAGGGTAGGGAGTAGGGTCAGGGATATGAGCTGGCACTGAAGCCCAGGATGATACTGCCAAACTGGGCAGAGCCTCAACACCAAGGACACACCTCTGACCAGATTCCCTTTGCCTCACTAGGCCTCACCCACCTACAGAATTTGGAACATTAGCTGGCATGTCATCTGGCGACAAGGATAGCTACTGACAATAATTACAGGGTCAGACCCTGATGCAGGTTCCACAAACAGAATTGGATGATGTCGTTTTTCCAAATCATTGCATGCTGAAAATTGTAGCAATTTAAGGGTCCTTAATTTTGCCAAAGTAGATGAAACTAGTTTGTCATTTCTTGTTGGAAATCACAGATTTTACTGCCTTTAGTGACAATTATTGCTGTCAGATGTTATGCACTGTAGCTACTCTAATTAAAAGATGAGCTGAAAACTGAGATAAGCGTTTTTTGTTGTTGTCGTCTCACTCATTTTAAAACAGCAATTCTGGAAAATGTTTCTTAGTTATACACTTGATGACTTCATGTATGATATTATGTCCCAGAGTAGGTCTGAATGATTTGGGTGAAATTATTCTGACAGATATTGCTTTTGATAAGATTTGAATAATATTTGTTGTGTAATATATTTCAAATATGTCAACAGTGTGACTGTGGCACAAAGGGGATGGCATGAAAGAATGCAGCACAATGTACATCCCAAATCATAGGCTAGTTGCATTGTTTTAAATTGTGATTTCAAATTTAAATTCATGAATTGTTTATCCCAGCTGATGATTTATACTATAAAGATTAACTGAAAATAACAAACCAATATTGTTCTTGCAAAATTGTGTTGAGTTAAATTTTTAGTATAAGCAGAATTGTAAGTTCCGTTATTTTAACATAATCCTGTTTGACTGTGAAGCATTACATATTCACTCTGTTTTTATTTTTGACATGAAAACAGACTTTTGGAATAACTTTAAGTAACTTAATTGAATTTGACTGTTGACAAGCTATGGCTAACATTACTCTAAAGCCTACTTTTACCAAATAATCCCTGCTCTGTAAGCATCAGCAAAGAAAAAGAAAAGTCTGCTATT